ACAAGACCTGTATTTCTTTTGAAGCTTTGAAAGTGAAAACACCAGACTGGACACCACTGTCCAACAGCTGAGAGATTGCTTTGAAGCCCTTCAGAGAGACCTGCAAGCCTCTGCCTCAGTAAGCTGCTCATAAATTTCCCTCTTTGTGACTCTTGAGCCGAGCTGCCCATTTCTGTGGAGAAACTGCAAGATGAAGTTTTCCTGGAGAGCTGAGGGGAGCTCAGTTTCTGCATTCTCCTCAGTCGAGGCTGCTCAGAAAGCAGCCTGGTCCTTTCTCCAGCTGCTACAAAAGCCCTGAGGGTGTTTTCTGTGGTGGACACTAGAGGAATAGAGATTATAAATGATGAGTGTCATTATGAGCTCCAAGGGACCCAAAAGTATTGCTCCCAGAAGCGTCTCACAAATTCTTAAGTAGGTCTAAAGTGTCTTCTTTCTGTCGGGGAATCTTTCAAGTGTTTTCCATGCTCGTTTCCAAGAGATGACAAATACAGTTTCACTGGCCACCCCTTTAGAGGTTTTCCCAGAATTCACTGCCTTTACATCATGCTGAGTTTCCTTTTCTTGTTTTTTTTTCTGTGTACAGGTTGGTGAACATTCCCAGCAGCTGGACATGGAGCCTAAAACAGGCATGCAGCTAGAAGCCCAAAATGAGGATTTGCAAGGAGAGCTGTCCACCCTGCGTGGGAAGTGTGAACAACTGGAGAAGAGCAAATGGCAGCTGCTAGAAGAGCTGTCAAAACTCCACAATTATTTGGAGAATTTCATGCTGGATGGATGCCAAACAGAACAATGCAAAAGAGAGATGAAAGAACAAGATGAGCAGGAAAGAAGACAAAAACTACAAGAACTCAATCAGCTTTTGCAAGTAAGTGAATTTCTCACCAGTGTGCTACGTAAACTTCTGCTGTGGCCATGATTTCTGGTATTTTCCCTTCCCTCCTGCATTCTGTGTGTTAGTGCTGCACTTCTGTCTGTGCTGGAGGCAGTGGGAGAAGGGCAGATGGTTGGGCAGCAGTGCTGGGTGTGTGATGTGCCAGCAGGTCCCTGAATCCAAAGCCTGCCCAAGGCACATTCCCAGTTGGCAG